GCCACATACTGCTAATCTATCACCAGTGGTTGCTTGGGGGGCCAACTCCACAAAAATTCCTTCAGAATACTTCCAAAAACTTGCTAATCTAATCACGCAGTTGTGCTGCAAACTCAAACATTCCCAAATAAATACACACCATAAAAAATATTTGAATCGAAAAAAACCAAAAAACAAAAACAGTTACCAATTAACAACATAAAAAGTTAATCCATAACTAAAGCCAATAATATTATTCCAAGATGAAAAGCGATATGTGCTATTTATTGGGTTGGAGCATAATATCGTAGCGTGTTTCATTTCGAGCTAAGCATTCGGTGAATACAAGTATATTACCCAATGAATCACATATATCAACTGAAAGTACATCTTGTGCTCTACAATACCATTTTGGCATTTTCTACTAATAACGTAAGTACTAAGATATAGGCGCTCGCGAAATTTGGAGAATCAAGGTAGCGAAAAAATCTAAATACAGGACGAGGAGTTCTCCACAGGGGGGTTGTGTTTGATGAGATTAGCGTCGTGACGGTGGTAGAGGTCAAATTTGGGTTTTGGGGAAGGTATAGGGTGGGCAAAAATTACGGTAACAAGAGCGCTAACCAAACATCTCGATTTCCTTCGAACCTAATAAATGCACCTGGTTGAAGAGACCCCGGAGAGAAATCACTGGACACAACAGCAAGGTAGACCGCTTGTGCACAAAGCAAATATTGTGCAACATTGGTTTTGCAGAATTTTCCGAATTCATGCCATTGAACGAGGGGCAACCTTATTTTCCCAATTAAGTAAATGGGTTATTTCTGCGTGGAGGTTACTGAAGACGATGGGTCTGCTGTGAGTATCCGTGAAGCACTCATGAGTTGACGAAAAGTCTGCGGTAAGCTCGATGCCACATCCCCACACATACGCATGATGCAGTCCTGAGACAACCGTTATATCAGCGCAGACAACTTCCTGTCGGAGAAGCGATGTTATCTTCTACTTGCTGACTTCCGATGAATATATTGTTGGTATTCGCTTACATCTCCCTGGCCGCATTGCTCCACAATCACTCTATCTTTTTACCGTAATTTTTAGCCACTCTGTATGTTCATGGGTAAAGGGATGCCGAAGTGTGCAAAAAAAATTGGCGTAAAATTTCCGCTTTGGCAGTCACAAGTATCCTCCACCGCTTATGGGGTTTTGGAGGCGGAACTGGAAATTTGGGTCGTGTGACGTGTGTTACGTGGCGCCACATTCAATGAGACTATTGAGGTCATTGACTACTGGAAGGTGAGTAGTTGGGGGGAGAGGGTGGGTGGGAGGAATGAGGTGGTAGGGATCGTAGGGTGAGTGGGGTCGCATTGGCAGGGTGAATAACGGTCGAGAAATTCCTCGACCATGGCTCTGTACTGTGCGAGAGTAGTGTCGAGAGCGAACGTACGCGCGGAGAGCACAGACGGCTCGCGCATGGCGAGAGTGAATGTCCGCGCGAGAGCGTGACTGAACAGGCGAAAATCCTCGACAAGCCATTGAGGAATCCTCGACTTTTTTCACCTTGCGCATTGGACGAAATTCCGTCGTCACGTATTTTACCCTGGTAAGGAACACCCTGCCACAGATCTCTGATTCTCCAGTTCCTGTATCCTTCTGCACAAATTTAAAAGCATATAACGCTCCTATGCCTGATCATCTGCCTTAAAGGCAAACTCCGGAATTAAACTGGTGCTAAGAGCGCTTCGCAGTGATAGCTTAGCTGCGGAGCGACCCCAAAGTGGAGAGGGAAGCGAGAGAACTCTTTGGGAACGCTGAACTTAAGGCCTTAACCTTTCAAAAAGGTCGGATGTGGTACGACGGCAAGACAGGGCGATCAGAGAGGTCAAAACACGCGAGAGAGAACGTCGTTTGAGAGAGCACGCTGATCTCTACATCAATGCACGCTGATCTCACCACATCTCGCGGTGGGTGGGAAGCGTTCGATGGTTGTTGGCCCGTAAGGATTAGCGCCCTAACCGCGCGATTTTCGCGACCAAGTTGAAGTGATCTAGGTAGGTTGGGGTCTTAGTATTCCCCTCACGGTAGCCTTCCTACTAGTCGGGCTAATCCCGGGGTTTGCCTTTAAGCGACTTCTCGACTTTTTTCCACCTTGCGCATTGGACGAAATTCCGTCGTCACGTATTTTACCCTGGTAAGGAACACCCTGCCACAGATCTCTGATTCTCCAGTTCCTGTATCCTTCTGCACAAATTTAAAAGCATATAACGCTCCTATGCCTGACCATCTGCTGATAACTTCAAAGGCTTATTTCATGATAAGGCGCGATGCATTGATGTGCATGGATAGGTATCATCAAGATGTACGGTACGCGTGGCTTGAAGGTGTGCGGCAATGGTGTTAAGGTGTGTCATGACTGCCAATGACCGGTGCTCTGGTGTCCGCGAAACAGCGTTTTGTAATACAGGTTGTCTATGTCTTGTTCGTTCCTATTCTCTCTAGTCCCGCGTCGTTTTTTCTTCACAAGCAAGCCCAACCCCTTCAGAGAGCGGTATCTAATCGTGTCTTCCTTTCACTCCTCTTATCTTTCCAAAACTGGGAATTCTGGTGGGTTATGGAACGCCAATGAAGATAGGAAAAGAGGAAGGAGGAGTGAAAGGAAGACACGATTAGATACCGCTCTCTGAAGGGATTGGGCTTGCTTGTGAAGAAAAAACGACGCGGGACTAGAGAGAATAAGAACGAACAAGACATAGACAACCTGTATTACAAACGCTGTTTCGCGACACCAGAGTATCCGGGTCATTGCAGTCATGAAACACACTAAACATTGCCGCACACCTTCAAGCCACGCGTACCGTACATCTTGATGATACCTATCCATGGCACCGATCAATGCATCGCGCCTTATCATGAAATAAGCCTTTGAAGTTATCAGCAGATGGTCAGGCATAGGAGCGTTATATGCTTTTAAATTTGTGCAGAAGGATACAGGAACTGGAGAATCAGAGATCTGTGGCAGGGTGTTCCTTACCAGGGTAAAATACGTGACGACGATTTTCTCCAAATGGCGCAAGTGGAAAAAGTCGAGAAGTCGTTAAAGGCAAACCCCGGGATTAGCCCGACTAGTAGGAAGGCTACCGTGAGGGGAATTACTAAGACCCCAACCTACCTAGATCACTTCAACTTGGTCGCGAAAATCGCGCGGTTAGGGCGCTAATCCTTACGGGCCTCCAACCATCGAACGCTCCCCACCCACCGCGAGATGTGGTGAGATCAGCGTGCATTGATGTAGAGATCAGCGTGCTCTCTCAAACGACGTTCTCTCTCGCGTGTTTTGACCTCTCTGATCGCCCTGTCTTGCCGTCGTACCACATCCGACCTTTTTGAAGGTTAAGGCCTTGAGTTCAGCATTCCCAAAGAGTTCTCTCGCTTCCCTCTCCACTTTGGGATCCCTCCGCAGCTAAGCTATCACTGCGAAGCGCTCTAAGCACCAGTTCAATTCCGGAGTTTGCCTTTAATGCAGTCGAGAGTTTCGCCTGTTCAAGTTCAGCGCATCTTCCGGCACGGACATATCAATGCGCTCGCCAAGCGCGAGCCGTCTGTGCTCTTCATCGTAGTCTACGCGCCGCTCTAACGGCAATTCTCAACACAGCACAGAGCCATGGTTGAGTAATTTGCTCACCGTTTTTCACGCCTACAATGCGACTCCACTCACTCTCACCGATCGCTACCATCAATTCCGCCACCACCGCCTATCCCCCCCAACTGCTCCTGCAGTAGTCAATGATCGCCGATAGTCTCATTGAATGTGGCGCCATGTAACAAACGTCACACGACCCAAATTTCAGTTCCGCCTCCAAAACCCCATAAGCGGTGGAGGATATTTGTGACTGCCAAAGCGGAAATTTTACGCCAATTTTTTTTGCACACTTCGGCATTCCTTTACCCATGAACATACAGAGTGGCTAAAAATTACGGTAAAAAGATAGAGTGATTGTGGAGCAATGCGGCCAGGGAGATGTAAGCGAATACCAACAATATATTCATCGGAAGTCAGCAAGTAGAAGATAACATCGCTTCTCCGACAGGAAGTTGTCTGCGCTGATATAACGGTTGTCTCAGGACTGCATCATGCGTATGTGTGGGGATGTGGCATCGAGCTTACCGCAGACTTTTCGTCAAATGAGAGCTCCATGGATACCTCACAGCGCATCGACTTCAGCAACCTCCGCGCAGAATGCACGCCATCTAACGTGAATTGCGAAAATAAGGTTGCTTACTTGAAACTGTCTATTCTGGAAAGTTCTGCACATCAATGTTGAAGGTATTTGCTATATGGGCAGGCGGTCTAACTTGCTAGTATGTCCAGTAAATTCCTCTTAGAAGTGTCATCACTAAGGTGCATTTAAGTTTGAAGATCGAAATGTTCGACAGTCCTTTGTTCCGTAATGTTTTTGGCCTACCCTATACTTTCGCCAAAACCCAATTTGATCTCTACCACGCGTCAGAGGCACGAACGCTATCTCATAACGCACCCCCTGTGGAGGAATTGCTCGACCGTGCTTCTATACCACTCTAAAGGAATGCCATATAAGTTTAGTGTACAAATGATTTCAGTTTTGCCCAGTTCAGTTTACGTCCTTTTTCTCCTCCTTTTTGTATCTGAAAACGACACAATATTTCAGAACGAGATAAAATGCCGACCATCGCAGAAGTCATTACAGCATTTGGATGATGGCCACGAAAACATGATTCGAATCTTCATTGAGAAACTCGATTGAGAGCCATCCACGTAGTTTTGCAGTGTAGTGTATTAGTAACACAATTCAAAGTATTCTCTGTACTTAATAAACTCTGTTTAACAATAAAATTTTTATTTTCATCCTGTCATTTTAATTAGAAGGAGATCTTGAACCAAGAGATCACGTTGTGAAGGAAAAGGAGACGAGAGCTGAGAGCCGCGAATCCCTGGGAGCTGCTGCCTTGATAGACACGACGAATTTGAAAGCTGTTGGTGGAACTCAGAATCGCGCCCGGCACAGCTCGAAGCTTCGCAGGTTGAGAATGCAGTTGAGTTTGTTACGTGACTCTCGCGTTTGCAGAATGATAGGCCTAAATCCGAAAAATCCTACAAATTTACTGGGTAATGAACTCAGTGGAGTAGATATAACAGTAGGTACCCTAATTATTGGGGTTCTGCATTTTCTGAAATATGGAGCAATTTCACATGGAACTTTAAAAGTTACTAATTCCACATGGTGCATCGGTGCCACCTGCAGAGGAGTAGCGGGAGGAGAGGATGAGGAAAATCCTTCCCTAACAGAACCAAGGAACTGTAAAGTTTTGTGATGTCACTGTAGCGTCATGCCGTGATTGTTATGGTGCCCTCTACAACATGAAGCACCTTTTTGTGCATACGCTTCACCTTCAGGAAATTTGGGTGCTACGGAGGAAGGAAACGCAGTGGAAGGCGCAAAGCGTACGCCAAAGCCAAAGCTTCGTTCACTGCGCTGAGATTCTTGCCGTTGCCAAGAACCAGTCCGGTCAAAATCGAACAAGGGCGAATTTGTTTTTACCAAACATTGAGGGTAAGTACTGTAGCTGAATTACCATGTTCGCTTTCCTAACCTTTCCGATTGATCGTTTTTCGAGGAAGACACGTAAGGTCGCAGAAGGCTGAAATTCACATAGCGCTTTGCTCGGACCGAGGCGCCGTTCTCAGTGCGAATCTCTGAACAAGCAGAATAATACTTATCGTATAGTGCATAGGCTATACGCCGTGTACTCACCTGAGAAGGCGGTAGCGAGTAGCAAAGTGGTCAGGACGACGATAGTTCTCATCACACTTGGCATTGGACCTGAAGCGATACCTGGTAAGTATTTCTGCCGAAAATTGCAAATGCTACACAATTAATCGCGTTTTCGGAATCACGAAGGCAACTTGGCAATAATAAAATACAATTTCTAGTCTCACAAGAATGCTGGGTTGTGAACAAAACTTTCGCCCCAGGACGGGACTAGAACCCGCACCTCTCGCTTTCCGGGCAAGTGCGCTACCAGTTACGCTACCGGGGCACCATTTCATTCCAACTCAGCTTTTCATGGTATACTTACCATGGTTTCATTAGTCAAAATAATTGTCGGTTAGTCGGTTCAACACGTTGTACCTATCAGTGCTGACAAGCTGTGGTAAGATTTCTGGGGCGAAAGCTTTATCCACAACCCAGCATTCTTGAGACACTCGCAAGGCAAAGTGCTG